TTTGTGAGGCAAGTGGCGGAACCACTGAGCTAAATCCCCAGCCCTGGTGTTTGAATTTTGTCTACTCCCCTGCCACGGCATCTATTAAGTGTATTGCAACTGTGTGTGTAAGTTAAACAGACTAACCCACGCACGGGGCCTACATCTGTGAAGAACAAGCCTGTTGTGTCCCTGTTTGTGGTTACCGATTACCTTACTTACACTGGATAAAATAATATCTGCAACTGAAGTTCTATTGCTGACAGTTTTAATTCATAATTAAATGCACACAGAATTGCTAAATTAGAAATTTGCACTTCTGAAGACCTCTGGTCTCCAAGTAGGCCCAACCCAGGCAAAATTGCAGGACAGCTTTTCTTTAATGCCTCTCCGTTTCTATTGGTTCCTCATTCCTTCCAGGTTGGTTGTCATCTTTTTGGTTGAAGCCACTGAAGGCTGAGACACAGAAAGTGGGCTTGGTGGCTTCAAATCTGGGGACTGGGTGAAGAGGCAGTGGATTAGCTGACCTCAGCCCCCCTCTCCTGTGCCTTGCATGTGGGGGGCCCCATCTGGGGCCAGGGGCTGAACAGTGCCCCCAGATGTCCAGGGTAGCTTCCATGACAAGGGGGACATTGGTGCTGTGTAAGGATGAAATAAGGGATGATCCTAGATGACCCTGGATCGCCCCCTGGGCCCAGTGTAGTCAGAGCCCTAACCAATGGAAGAGGAGGCAGGAGACTCAAAGTGTGTGAGAGATTGGATGCAAGTGCCGGCTCTGATGATGGAGGAAGGGACCACAGATCAGGCCTGTAGTGACAGCCAGTGGGGAACCTGGGACCTCCGCCTCGGGACTGCAAGGAACTGGTTTTGGCCACACCCCCGGTGAGCCTGGAAACTTATTTTTCTTGAAAGCTTCCAGGGCACACAGCCTGCTGCCACCCTAACTCTCGCCTTGTGTGACTCACGACAGGCTCAGACAGGTTGGCTACCTCTGAAAACCAGGGACAATGAATTTCAGTTGTTTAAGCCTCTAAGTGCATAGTAGTTTTTATAACAGCAATCAACACTCCCGGGATTCTGGAACAGGGCTTTTCCTGACCAAAGGACACCAGCAGTGTGGTCCCAGGAGCTGGCTGGCATTGCCAAGGCAAACCCCTCCCAGACCAGGTCTTGGCGGGGCCTTCACTGGGCAGCACTGTGCCCTACTGGGCCAGGCGCCCACACCCCCACCCCAGGTGGTGCATCTGTGCAGTGGATCAGGACAGCAAAGACCTCTCCCCAGCTGCCTCTGGAGGGTTTGTGTCCTCAAGCAAACAAGTCATTCTGTGTCCTTATGTTTGTTTGTTTTGTTTTTTTAATTACCTTCAACTTTCTAGGGAAAGCAGGATAGTTGCTCACAGTATCAGCTATCTGTAGATTTTCTGGGTTTTGGAATTGGCGGAGAAACAAGAGGGGTGGCAGGCCAAGCACCTGCCCTGTCCTGTTCTGCCCCAGACCTGGCACAGCAAGGACAGCCTCGCCTGTGAATCAGCGGGCGAATGGATGCACACCGGTGAGAGCAACGCGGCTCTTACCTTTCGTTCCTTAAATTCTTGAAAAACAAAGACAATACATTTACAATCCAGAAGGGCATAAGACAGAAACTAAAGTGTAATTTTGCAATCCTGTACCCCAAAGATAGACAGAGGTTCTGTTGGCAGAAGTTAGATATTAGCAGATGGGAGATGAGTGGCTGGGAGCTACAGGACTCCATTTTCCCCCTTTGTTTTTGTAATCCTTGGCTATAGATAAAATCAAAGAATCTTGTGGTTTCAAAGGTCAGCCCAAGAGAACTCAACCTCCTGAGAGAGCTGATAAGGTCCAGGACCATACAGAGGCACAGCAGAGGCCATGGGGAGGGTTTAGGGAAACCCAAAGGTCTTGGAACAAATTAAATGGAAACCAACTTAGGGAGTAAAAACCAGGAAGTTTCTTCCCTCTGAAGTTGGTCAAAACAGTCAATTTTCCTTGTACAAGAACAACAACTTCAGGGGAAAGAAAAGAGATTTCTTGAAAGACCAGTTAATCCTTAACTGTAACCTGAGACTTTACTCAGTGCAGTACCAGCTTGGCACTGTGCACCTGAGGGCCTGAAGGTGTGTTCTCTCTCCCTCTGAAAACCAATCACTTTCCGATAAACTCTACCCACGCTCTGAAATATTTTGTCAAAGATGCAAAGAAGAGGGGAGAAAGCGTTGCTGTTTCCTCAGTGTCAGGACCCGCTTTCCCGGTCATGGTGCCACTTTGCAATGTCCTATTCCAGACACCTACCCGTGTCCAGCAGCTCTCTCCCTCTGCCGTCCTCTCACCTTTGTCCTTTCTCTAATATATTTAAGCTATTACCGAGGGAATTTCCTCATGGGGAGAGTTACACATCTATAGCATTCTTTGTGCTGCTGGCATTTCCCTTTGTGTGATATATGAGTCCTGTTTGAGGGTTGTTTCCCTTGGAGCTATGTTTTGCCTTTGCAAATATGCGTGGCTGTCTTCCAGGAGAGCTGCTGGTCAAAAAAGAATCTCGATTTTTAGATTAGAGATAGTGCCCCACTCCTGCTCTTCTGAATCTTAGCACTTTTGGTCTTTCCCTTCCTGATTTTCCACATTACAGTTACTTCAAGGGCGCCTGGCTCAGCCCTCCAACAGGCCGTCTGCTCTCGTCTCTGAATTCTGTTCGGAGGTTCTGCCTGGTTCCTGAAATATCAGGATCTGAAGTTGTATTCTGAAGAAGCTGAAAGTGTCATCCATTTCATCCTTGAGGCTTGCCTCTGCTGCGGCTTCCTTCCCAGACTCATGTGCCACCACTCATGGCTAAAAACAGCTCTTCCTCAGCATGCAGGCTGGTCTGCAGCATTGGCTCTCACCTGGAAAGCGCTTCGCTGGGACAAACAGGGACACAGCTCTGTCTTGCTGCTGCAGCTCACACACACACACACACACACACACACACACACACACACACACACACACACACGACCACCACCACTCCCCGGACTCCTGTTCGCCAAACCCCAGTCCACATTGCCGGGTGGAGCGCCTGCCAGGCAGAGCTCCCTGCAGATGGGCTGGGACTTCGGGGGTAAGGAGCCTTCTTTGATGACTGCTCCCCAGATGCTGCCAGCTCTCTCACTCCTCATTCCCAGCTGTGCTGTCAAAAGCAGAGGCTGCTGGGAAATAAATGCTAACCAGCCAGCTTCTTGCTGTGGGGGACGCTCCAATCGGAATCTGCCTGGTCCCCTGCGTAAACATTACCACCACAGCCGACTTCGGACTGTCAAGGTGACCGCGCTGGATGTGGGGGCTGGGAAGAAATGCACACTGGGCATCAGGGAGACAGGATACACAAAGGCCTGAGTAGGAAGTGATGTGTTTTGAGTATGTATTAATTTATGTCTAAATAATTTATTTCTAAGTTTATGCACTTCATTTTTAATAATGGTTGTGTTTAACGGCTGGTTTGAGAAATTCCTAAAAATGTAGCAATAAGTTCTCATAAAATGGTCCAAGCCAGGACATCATGGAATGCCTCTTGGGGAAGCAAAAGCCTGAGGTTTGGGCATTTTCTCAAGTGCTTATGCTAAACATCTCCCTTTCGCCATACAGTTCTTTGGTGCCAGTGTCTGACACCATACCTAAATTCTGCACTGACCCCAGGGAGATTTCTGATAAATGGTTATTTAAAATGTGTGTTCTAAGTATCTCACATGAATGACATTGGGTCTTGATTTTTACAGATTTTCTCCTTTCCATGTCTCTGGAGTATGTGAGTGGAAAACTATTTGTATTATTTTTTACAAAGGAAAACTGTTCTGGTTAAGGTAAGGAATGTTCCCCTCAGATGCTCATGTTCTCTAAGGCAGGACTTTTAGAAGGTGATAGGGTTGTGGGTGTTTATACTTACCAGTGAATTTAACACTGATGAATACACAGCTGATTGTGCTATTAGGAGGTGGGGTCTGGCTGGAAGATGCTGGGAACATGACTTAGATGTGTGTATCTCCTTTCTCAGGTCCTTGCTTCTCTTCCTGCTTCCTGTTTGCCATGATGCAAGCAGCCTCCTTCCGCCATGCCTCCCTGCCATGCTGTTCCTGCCCTGAGACGGCCAACCGTGAACTGTAACCGTGAACCAAAATAAACCTTTCTGTCTTGCGGTTGTGGGTGTTGGTTACTGTCTCTCAGTGATGAGGAAAGTGGCTAAGACAAAAACTGAGAGCTGGTTTTCCTGATCCTGGGAATGACTGCATGCAAAACCAGAGCAGAAGTTTGTCTGCCAGAGTGTAACTGGTAAACAGAGTCTAAGATAAAAACTCTCTATCTTAAACTTTCAATTGAACAGCCAGAGGATCTCTGCAATGATCAGAAATGCAAATCCAGCTTTTGGGTTCAATCCAACCAACCAATTAAAGACTACAAATGGGTACAATCTGCAAACTCATCAGTAGTAAGCAAAATGAAATTCCATCACTATGTGAATCCTCAAGAGTCTCCCGGGGCAACCCCATAAGCCGCTGCTGTCTTCCACTTTAAGATATGAGGCTCATTCCCTAGGGCTCCTTGTCAAACCCTACCCTGTCCCTATGACACAGTCCAGACCCTGTTTGATACAGCACCCAGTAGCAGCTGTCTTCCAATGAAGGAACAAGGGAGGAAATAAACTTGTGCTAATACCACTGAGGCATCTACATGATTTATAGTCTTTTTGAGGAAAGCTTTTGGAAACCCATTTTATATCTTTCTCCTCCCTAATTTTATTTACCTGCTTTAGCTAAGTTAGCACAAGCCTCCTGTGATGAATCACTATCTGCAATGCTGCGACAAAATATCTGACTCTGAAGCTTAAAGTAAGTGAGGTTTAACTTGGCTGATAGTTTCAGAGGTTTCAGTCCATAGACCACTGGCTCCAAGGCAGGAACATCACGGTGAAGGGTGTGGTAGAGCGAAGCTGCTCATTACATGGCACCCACGAAGCAGAGTGTAGGAGAAGAGCCACAGCAAGAGTCAGACAGTCCAAAGGACACCCAGTGACCCCCCTCCTCCAACTGGACCCCCTCGCCTTACAACCTACTCAGCCATGAACATTCCTGGGTTCATCTAATCAAGTGGACAATTACGCTTACCTGGGGTGCCTTGTAAAGACATTTATGCTGCCCAGACATTGCTGGATGTGGCTGTTCAAGAACTCAGGCAAAGGATCAGTCTCAGCATCAAGCATGGGTAGTGCTTAAATCTTGATCTTGCTTTTTCTATTAAATATTGATATACTCTGGCCAAGGGTGATGTGTGCCTGTACAACCTCCCCAGTGGAGGGGCTGGGTCGATGAGAAATGGGCACCTGAATGGAGTGCTGTGGAGACTCCAGGCTTGAAGCACAGAGTGAGTTTCTAAGAAGGCAGGAAGGGGTAGAGCGGGGAGCCCAGGTGCAGGCAAGTCTTGAGTAGGTACTGAGCCGAAGAGCTCTGCGGTCACAAGACCTGTGGCGGAGCTGGGCAGGCGGGACTTGGCTGGCACTTGCAGTGGACAAGGAGGCCCTGGGGAAGGCCACACTCCTGTGGTGTGCCCCGGAGGTTTAACTGCTGGCTCGCCCTGGCTTCTAGTGCATGCCCATTCCTGTGGTGTAAACACCCCTGCCACAGCTGACTTCCCACCCACTGAGGAGCTGGGGAGAAGCATGCATGAATTGCCTGAGTCATCAAGGCCTACTATGTACCTCTGATCAGCACTCTCCCAAGGGCTGTGCGTTGCATCCTGTGAGCAGCCCTACGATGCCTGTGTCTTCGATGATGCCCAGGTGAGCACTTATTTAGAAAATGACACAGAAAATCTCTGAGCGAGAGGGACCTCGGTGGCTCACATCTGGCAGGCAGGCGTTAGGTCCGAGTGTGGAGGCAATTGTGGGAAGGAGAGATGAAATACGGTAACAAAGTTGTCTCAGAGACGCAGGGTTGAGCATGTTGCATTTGTGTGTTCCATGAGATTCCAGTATCAAGGAGCTAGAAAGGGAGGTGAACCTTCCAGGCCACCCCCATAGTGGCCACCTCTTCTGACCACCCCCACCTCCTAACAGCAAGCCAGCTGTGAGCTCACCTTCCAAAGCCCACCTGTGAGCTCTCCATGTTGGGGACATTCTCCATCCGAAGTGTGACTAAGAACATCCAACTAATAAAAGAGAACAATTATAACAATGCACTGTAATGAAAGCAGGCACCTTGGGTGCATTAGTAGGTAAAACAAGGGTTCCCAAACACAAGCACTGTGGTAGAACACAGGTGGACCCAATACCCAGGATGGCCAGTAAGTGACTAGAAGGGCAAGGGCTGCGGCTGCACGAGGTTCTGCCTCCCTCCTCAGACCGGCTCACAATTTCACAGCCACGCACCTTTAACTGCTGAAGTTTTCCAGTTAATATTACTGTCAACTGCAGGTAAATGAAGCTGTGGCTCCCTCCCCACTTAAATCTTCTGTCTTTCTTGGATGCATTCTTGCCTTCGCCCGCTGCCGTGCAGTGGAGCTCCGCCTCACGTCTGCCTTCTCCTTGATGTCCCCTGGTCCCGGAGTGCCCTTTCCCACCTTTCCTGGCATGGTATAACCTGCGTTCCCCACAGCTCTGAAGACAACTGAAAGCCAGTGACGGCGCCTTTCGGTGGACCAGCAATAAGGTCACCTTGCAAAGATGAGGTACTGCAGACTTTGGTGAATACAGGGAGTTACTGCAGCAGGCTTCCAAGGTATGGGGGTATGGGGCACCTTACAGATGCTGGGTGACAGAGAGCCGCAGGCTGAAGCAGTCACAGAGCACCTGTGTCAGGCGGCTGAGGTGTCCCTTGAGGCCTTGGGGCAGGGACAGTAGCCGTGGGCTCACATACCTCCTGCTCCAATGTGGTCCTTACAGCCAGGCACACATAAATCAACTGTTTTTTTCCCCATGGTTGGTCACTAGATGTCACTGCAGGGAAAAAATCTGACCAGAAATCAAATGTGAGGAGGAGAGAGTCCTGTTTGGGATCCTGAGGAAGTGGTTGCCTTAGCAACGGGGAGCATGTGGAAGCAACAGGGAGCACTTCCCCTCCACGGACAGCGGGCAGTGTGTGGTGTGCGGGTCACATTCCAGACAGGGCCCAGAAGAGGGGCACTGGTGGAGCTGAAGCCCGTGTGTGCGGTCGGGTGGGACAGCAGGAGAGAGGGACAGACAGAGACAGAGGGAGAGAGAGAAAGCTGGAAATTGCCTGGCATCCTGGGAGCACCCAGGAACCGTATGTCAAGTCCAAATCGTGAGCCACAGCCCAGAACGGCCTTTTCCCTCCAGATGTTCATTACCCTGATAAAGATGGTCTTTATTGGCCAGCACAGCCACAGCTGCACCAACGCTGAGCTGAGCAGAGCACGGGAGGTCAGCGTGTGCCTAAAACTGCTTCTCCAAGGACAGACCCCTGGGAAGGGAACAGCTAAGTCATCACCGCTGGAGGGAGGACCCCGCCCAACTCCCATAACCCTGCAGCCACCACAGCCCCCAGCAGGCGACAGAGTGAAGATTCTTTGTCCCCTCCCTGTCCTTTCTCCTTTCCCCTTTCTCCAAGATGCCAGTGTCCTTGAACTGACCTCTGGCTTTCCATTCTGCACAGAGCTTCCTTCCTGCTTCTATCAGAGCTGGCTGCCCTTCCGGTGTTTGAATAAAGTCACTCAGGAGCCCAGAGATGCGACCCTGCTAGAAATATTCACACTTGGAAGGGCTGCTTCCTGTCCACATGCATCTCCAGTTGCTAGACTGTGAACCACTGAGAACAGAGAATTGTGACCCTGAGCACCAACCAGAACTGTCAAAATCAAGTATCTTCACTCCAGCCAGGCTGGGGTCAGGGCACCCATGAGCTCTCAGGTGCAGCAAGGGTGACCCTGGCTGCCAACCCTGAGGAAGGCCAAAGCTACCTGGGGTTGCTCAGGTAGCGCAGGTTGCCAGAAGAAACTGTCCCCAGAACCAGACAAGCCACAAAAAGACAAGAATTGTGTTCCAGTAGCCAAGGCCTCCACAAAGCCCAGCCCAGGTGGTGGTGCTGTGAGCTGGTCACTCAGAGGCCACTTGGGGGCAAACAGTGCAGTCTGGGGGAGCAGAAGGGGTCCCCACACCAAGACCAGGCCCAGGAGCCTCACTCCAAGCCCTAGGTCCTAAGGGCCTTCAGGACGCACTGTCCAACCTGGGTGCCTGACTCTTCTTTTTTGTTTCTCTATATTTTTATTCTCCTACAAGAAACATGTATTATCATCCTATTTTCAAAACACAGAAGTATAATTTGGTCATGCCCTGCATGCAGCCAGAAGCAGGTTTCTATTCTTCTAGAACAGCTTGCTTGACCTTGGGCCTTAATTATTAGTAAATGTATAGGACCTGCACTAAACCACGCAAGGCTATTGGCTTTTGGTATCAAGACAAATGTCTGGGATGCTTTTCAGACATGCGTGCATTGGTGAGAACATAGGGCACAGGGGTGGGGTGTCCCAGCCCAGCCATCGGCCCTGCTTGCCATCTGTCACATCTCTGTGGTTCTTGGGAAGAATAAGCTGCCACCACAGGCTTCGGCATTGCGATCCCCGGTCCTCAGCAGCGTCCTCCTCCCTGCATGGGAGCTGCTCCCTGCTGCATTCCTGTAGTAACTGGCGTGGGGGGCACTGTTACCTGCACATGCTGTGAAGAGGGGTGGCTCTTGGTATCCTTGCCCCGGTAGCACCCACAAAAGCAGCATAGGAATCAGGAAGGGACTGCATGCTTGGGTTATGGGCCAGACTGGCCCCAAGGCCCACCTGGGGCCTGGTCCCGATGGTACCTGGACATACCAAGTCAGAGCCTGTGGAAGAAGTTCAAGCCTGGCTGAGCCAGGTGCACCGCACTCCTGTCTCCTAAGCTAACTTGGGGACCTTGCTAAGGCTGAGCTAACTCGCCTAAGTGTATAGATGCTGGGTCCAACAGGTTACACCTTTGCCCCTAGTTCCTGACTCCTTCTCCTTGCCCAAGAAAAATCGCTCTACCATTTCTGGCCAATAAGATATCGCCAAATGTAAAATGCTCCTCCCATGCTCCGCCCCCATGGTTGTCCCTATACAAACCCGTGCATTTCCTGAATAAAGG